TATTTTACTTTATTTTAATCTAACTTTTATTTATTTTATTTTTTTTGTCATTTGTTTGCTTTTTTTTAATTTTATTAATTCATTCATGTATGTTTTAAATCGGTTTAATTACATTTTTTATTACACTATTATGTTTATTTCTTATTATAGCCCTGTCATAGTGTACTATAATAAAAAATTTTTTTTTACTTATTTTAATTATCAATTTCATTGTAGTAATTACATTGCATTAATATTTTCTTCAGTCGCTGCTCTACAGGATTTTCAGTCTGTTCTCTCGTTCACAGACACAGGAGCCTCAGATAAAAGAGACGGAGAGAAAGAGGATGATGAAGAAGAGACCCGAAGCAGAGCGACGACCCGCGCCGCGTCTCGTCTGGAGGCAGAGAAGTACGACAGACGTCTGATGCTGCGATGCTCACGGCTCAGCCAATGAAGACTCATCTCTCTCGTTTGTTTTCAGGAATAAACCCAGCAAACCGTCCACTCGAGCTGTCAGTAAACTCAGCGGGAAAGAGGAAAACTCCCCGAACACACGGTCTGTACATCTGAGAAATACTGTTTGACAAAGTTCAGAATGAAGACTAGTGTACTACACACCGTCTGCTTAGATAGAGCCTCATTAGTGCTGTGTTTATTTATCTATTTTTAAATCTATTCTTTTTTCTTACTCATTATAGTACAGTTGTAGTACTGTATTAATTGCTCTAATTTAAGTTGTTCAAACAGTAGTTTGCTGAACTGTCACATGGCCTCATGCTTCATATTTAATGTAATTCAGTGAGTGGTGTTCAGGTATCAGCTGGTGAATACAGATATTTAGAATTTTGACTCAGTTTTGTGTAAAAATGTCTGAACTTTGTGAGTCTGATCCAATAATGAGTCAAGAAAGACATCACTTACTGTTCATTTGTCACACTGGAAATGAAAGAACAGGTCATGCGCTTTGCATTATGGGTTACAGTGTCTGATGCAGTGTGATCTTTAGCAGTAGTAGATCATAAACATTCCTGCAGTGTGTGAGTGAACTGTCTCTCTCTGTGTCTCAGATCGGTGAGGGGATGCAAGCGTGACTCCAGTCCTGCTCTTCCTCGCACACGTGGAGCACAGAAATCTGACGAACCACCTTCAAAACGAGCCAAACGATGATGAGTCTCCGCTTTATCTCCTCGAGTTCACCGTTAGTAGTGGTTTAAAGGTCAGAGAGTGTTGGGAAATTAATCCGAATCAGAGCAGCTGATAATCAACATGATTCAATTCTGCAGACGAATGAAGAGATGAAGAGACTGATGATGAAGAGCTGCTGTGTGTAAATAACTCAATAATAATATTCAATTCATCAGTGCAGTGTTGACTGTGAGAAACTGCAGGTTTTACACCACTCTGTGTGTGCGTGCGTGCGTGTGTGTGAGAGTGTTGTGTGTGAGTGAGTGTCTGTGTGTGTGTGTGTGTGTGTGTGAGT